GATGATCCATGCATTATCAATAAGTCAGAACTTTGGCCTTGGCTTTAATGATTAGCCTGTGCGTATGTATTAGCCTGATGCATTATTAAGCCAATAACTACATCCGCCCGTTTGTGCATGTGTGTGTGTGTGTGTGTGTGTGTGTGTGTGTGTGTGTGTGTGTGTGTGTGTGTGTGTGTGTGTGTGTGTGTGTGTGTGTGTGTGTGTGTGTGTAAATTGACATAATAGAGATCAAGCTGGGTATTTAGTCTTCATTTTCCACAGCCTGGTTTGAAAACCTAAAGATAGAGATTTGTAGTATTCCTCTGTAAGCACACTCTGAATATGTCTTTATGTTTCCCCTTTTTTCTGTTCTCTCTAATTAAATGTTGTGGAACAGCTTTGTGTTTCACTTCTATGTTTCAATTTTGTCAGCAAGTTTCTTCACAATGCACCCATCTGAATTTGAAATGATGAATGAAAATCCTGCTCTTACTGAAGTAATTCCATTAGAGGCCCACATTAAGGAAATACAGACAAAAACATACAGTACCTAATTTAATTTTCTGCATTTGCTTTCTCATAGGGACCACAGTGGATGAGACCATCCACCGAATTTACTAATATTTAAGTGCCTCATCTTCCCTGAAAACCACATTACTCGGCACATAAATGAAACATTTGCGTACAGCCATTTCTCCAAAATCTATTTCCTTTTTACTTCACTTAGCTTGCATGAATTAGATATCTGCAATTTATGTCTACAATAACCAAATCCCTGTCTCTGCTCGGCCATGTTCCTCCTAGCAGCTTTAATGGAGTCAAGTTGTGAGGGTTTCAAACTAACAAACAAGACTCCCCATCACTCAGAAGATTGATGAAGCCCACAGAGCATGTTTGAATAATGTGTAAGACATGACAGAGGCCACTGCCAGAGGTTGTTTTTTCTGCTCCTGGCATGTGTTTGGCTGCAGCAGTGGCAGCTTGTACAGGGATATGGATCCCAGCCTGGGGAGATGTCTCAGCCTTGCTGTGGGATCATTATTCCGATGGACAAAGCCACGGTTATAAATAGGTTCATGGAGATCTTGGGCGGTACTCTCTTTGTTTTCAGACCATCCCTATTTGTCTTATTGATCTAAATATGTGTGGTCACTCAGCTGCTTAGAGGAACTGGTGAAAAAATGGTGTGAGGCTGCTTCTACTTTCAGACTAAAACATTGAAGGATTTACTATCAAATTAATAACAGCTGTGTCAAATCCCTGTTTGGTTCACACTCCAATAGTCTGTCATTTCACAGCCTTTCTTACTAACCACCTGCCTTGATTTTGATTGATCAAAATCCCTCAACAATGTCTTCTTATTCTGAACAGCAAATGTGTTGCATGAACAACCTGATAGCACAGTTTGGGTTTTTTACAGTCTTGCAGAACTAGTTGATTGAGATAAAAATGCCAGTGGACTTAAAAAGATACAGAAAGGGGAGCCCGAATTAGTAAAGTTATTATTTTCTAAAACTGTTCACTCATCAACAAAAACCCTTTAAAGTTAAGACTTCACCGCCAATGAAGGTGAAGGTACATTAAGACAGAGGAACTACTTTTGAAAAAATGTATACATCTATTTTTTAATCAATAAAATCATCCTTTAATCAATTATGAACATTGAATTTGTTTTGTAGTTGTATCTGGTTTTGGCATCAGAACTTTCATGCTAATAGGTGAATGTGAGCAGCTATGTTTATTGAGAAAAATTATGTTTTTGGCTTCTGAAACTTCTCGAATAATAAGTGGTGACACTCCAACTCCACTAAAATAAAGTTATTTTTGAACAAACAAAATAGGTGAATACATAACACAATATCTGCCGTGCACCAAACTACAGATGGACAAGAAACTAGCTTGAATTTGATCTGATTCAGGAAACCAGAGATTAAGATTTAGACATCAGAGTAGGCCTCTTACGACAGAGGGTGTTACATTAAGTCCCAAAGTTAAAACTGTTGAAGGTGAATGGGTCAAATAGCTCAGCTTTGAAAAAAATCAAAAATTAAAAGATTGGTGGGGTCTCTAAAAAAATGACTCTCTCTTCTTGCCTCCTACCAGCATGTACAGGAAAAGATTGGTTTCTGCTGCGCTGTGTGGTCGCTGTATGAGCTGAAATCACAGATGTGCTCTACAGGGCTCCACATTGTTACACCAGCGTCAGCAATTTTCACCACCACCAGCATATGTGGAGAGTCAGCCTGGACCACATCCATGAGGAAGAGGGCAAAGGAAGCTTTGCTGACCCCAGACAAAATCAAATGGAAGAAGGTGAGGGATGGAGAGAGGAAAGCGCTGGAGTAGGTGTGTGTGTGTGTGTGTGTGTGTGTGTGTGTGTGTATATATGTGTGTGTGTGTGTGTGTGTGTGTGTGTGTGTGTGTGTGTGTGTGTGTGTGTGTGTGTGTGTGTGTGTATGTGTAAAGGCTGTTGGCTTACATTTTCAGGAGGATTAAAATGTGGCTGTAAAACTTTAATGACTCCCTGTCTGTTAACAAAACGATCCAAAACACTGGTCACCACTTAGTCACTTTAAACATATCACACACTCCCAGAGCCAGTACACAGCGCATGAGAAAATGACATTAAATTTTTATGAATTATGGGAAAATGAAAAATCTGTGGTGACTCTGCATATCTGTAATGATCTGTAAAGACGATACGAGTGAATAAATGAAGGCGCTAGAAACTTATAAATGACCCTGGGGAATATTTGAATGCTTTTCTTTCTCTGTCAATGCTGCTCATCAAATTCACCACAGTTTTAATCCTAACATGGACCATACACAGATATGAGTGGTGTCATTAAGCCAAGAAGTGCTGTGCTGCAGTAACTCACAAAGAAGGACTAATGATTGTTGTAATTATTCTGATTCTGCAGACTTTTACATCAATTGAAGATACTCATACTTCTTTTCCTTTAAAGATGTTCAGCTCTTAGCTTCATCCATGTCCTACAGCTGTCTCCTAAACAATCCAGACCAGCTGTCAGGAAGCTTTTTCTTTGTACTATACTTCTCTTTTCTGCCACAGTTATACCACTGCACAGTGGCTCTTTAAATGTCCTTTGGAAACAATTAAAATTTGTCAAATTGAACTGAATTCAAAAGCATATGAAGGTAAGGTAGCCTTTCAAGTCTTAACATTGTCAAAAGAACGTACTAGGAGCACACTCCAGTGAGTAATTTCACAATTTCTTTCACCTGACATTTTGATGACAAAAGAATTGTAAATCTGAACATTTGAGAGAGATCAAATTCAGAAGAATATTGACTGTAGAGTGGTGTTAAAGAGTCCTCTTTTCTGCAGAAAATCAACGAGGTGTAGCTGTTAAATGTTACCTTGTTCAACATCGAATCAAACAAAAACAGTAAATATAGGCACACAGAGTTGTTCCCTTGGTGCTAATGGTTACTTCATCTTGCAAACTAATGCATGCTTGATTTACTTGATACTTGTGGTTGATGTAACTGTGGAGGGGACTCGACATTCACAGGTAGCTCCCCAGATAAACCCTGAATTCGCACTTGCCTTCTGCTTCTCTTCTTTCCTGCAGTTTCATTGGGCCTTCAGTGTCTGATCTTAGAAAAAAACTCATCTGCAGGACCCCCAAAAACACAGCTCAGGTTTTGAATATTTCGTTTTCCTGACAGGTGATTCATGTGAGGATGGTCCCCCAGTCCAAGCTACAGTAACCAGCAGCACAAAACAGCTGTATGAGAAAGTTTGTGTTTAGTATAAGAAATTGATCTAATTCATTAGCCCTCATTAAAAAATAGAGTCCTACAATATCTCTCTGTTCCTTTCTCTCCTGTGCAACCTCAGTTCTGCTGCTCCATGCCTGTAGCACTTTGAGACTATTTTTTACCATTTTATGAAATGTATTATTATTATTATCATTATTATTATTATTATTATTATTATTATTATTATTATTATTATTATTAATAAGAATAATCATTTATTTATTTATTTATTTATTTTCTACTATGATTACTCCATTCCCTGCTCTCCATCACTGCAAAGCACTCATAATACATTCAATCTTGTGATCAGTAGTGATTTAAAAACAACAAAATCTAAATATGCTGTGAATAATGCTGAAAACTCTTGAAGTCCTGACACTGAGTGATCTTGAATCAGGTCTGAGAGGTATCAACACAGTGACTGAGTTAGTCCTGTTCCACTTGAAGCAGAGTGAAAAAAATATGATTGTTGGTCTAACTACTCAGAGTTCAGCGGGGATTATAATTAGCAGCATTAGCTTCACCCTCTTTTGACCCTAGTCGAGGTCTGTTTCACTGAGCCTGAATACAGGGCCAAGAAAAACCCTCCTTACTTTGCCTTCATTATCTAACAATAAGTGTATGACATGGAGAAAAAGCATTATAAATTGTAAAGCCAGATTTCAAAGAGGTCTACTCATTATAGCCAAAGGAAAGCACAGAGAAAGAAAAAGTGCCTCAAAGAATTTGTATAGCTTATGAACCAGTGTATTAAACAAACACAGTTTCAGACGGTTAATTAGTTCGCTGTAAAGACTCAGATTGTGCTACAGATTTAGGCCTTTTTCATCAGATATTTTCAGAACCTGTTTGAAATAAAAGACTCCTCTCATAGTTGTTTTATAATGGCTAGAGGTCGTTCCACCAGCTCCTCCAATTAGAGGTAATGACACAGTACAGAACCGCCTACTACCCAGTAAATTGAGCCCATATTTGCATAACCTCACACTTCCTCTACCAAGCACTGAAATCTTCCCACTGTGATGAAATGTGAAGTTTTAGATTACTGCCTAACCCCCACCCTCAGCATTAAAAGAAACGTGTATCTCTCCAGTTACAACCAAGACATTGCTCCTAAGCTTATATCTCTCACAGCAGCCAATCAGAGCTCTTTTTATTTTCAACTCATGTCCATGCCTGGACTCTGGGCAGGAAATTGTCTTGTGGTCTAATGATGCCGTCTAATGAAGCAGGGCGCTGGAGTTTGGCACAGATTGTAATAGAAATGAAAAGGAGAAAAATAACAGAAATGCACATAGGCATGGTTTTATGTGCTGCCTTATATTGTCTGCTCTAGATGAATGACAGTGTGTGTGTGTGTGTGTGTGTGTGTGTGTGTGCGCGCGCACGTACTAGAGTGAGAGCTGCTCCCTGCCTTTGAATATGAGTGAGCAGTGGGGAGACTGGCTGACCTTTCAGGGACCTCCCTGACTGAAGCTGTCCTGTAGTGGTATTTACATTACCATTTCAATACACTGCCAAGCAGGGCTGGCAATAAAATATTCAGTTGACCTTTAAGGCAAAAAAGACTTAGTTAGAGACTGTCATATCATTTAACCTTAAGACTATACAGTGTAAGTGTGAGCTGTGTCACTGTGTGCCCCTCATTACTGGCCACAGTCTGACAGAGTGCTCTCTTTAAACTGAAAGCCAGTCTGTAGAGGCAGAGGGACTACCCTGCTGTCCCCATAGTGACTCCTTCCATCCCTGCCTTAGAAGGTTTTACAGCCCAACTGAAGACTCAATCTTTTGCCTTATACTGTCGATCATCTCTACACCTCCCCTGAGTATGAAGGACTTTTTAATAGAGCAGCAGTCCCCAGAGCTGATCAAATAAGACCATACAGAGGGGCCACAGAGCTGCAGTTCCTCCACTGACCACTTGAGGCTGGCTCCAAAAGTATGTCAGTCCCCATTTGAGCTTAAAGCAAAATCAAACGTTCAAAATCTGGTATTTGAGACTACTGAAGCCTCTTTGACTAATTTCTCTATTCCTAAAAAAACTGTAGGCTACAGGTTTTGATTGTAAATATAACTGTGGTGTTTATAATATATATATTCCCAAAGACAAAGGCTTCAGAAAGAGTGGGCAATTTTAATATTTTCAGGACAGCTGTCCCTATGGTGCTGAAAGACTTTCAGCTCTATGTGCCTGCCACTTTACTCATGACTTCCCAGTAATCAAAGTCCAGCATGAACTTTATTTGCATCTCAACTGTAATCTATGTCTGTTCCTTCTATAAAGTACCTCAATTTAAAGCCTTAGCCACGGGCTGTAAGTAAGGTTACAGCAGCAGCTAATGTAGAAACAGAACACCTGTGAAAGAGAGCTAACTGTCGACTAACAGTTATCCTAAGACATTCATTGTAATGGCATAACTTTTCAATCATTTCATGCTAAAACTGCGTGGAAATAAGTCATAAGTCTTGGCTGACTTTATATCACTGAAAAGGCAACTGAAAAAAGCAGTCAGGCAGAGCCGGAGCAGTACTAAGTATGTTTTTTTTTTTTTTTTCTGTAATTGGTGCCAGTATGCAATGAGTGACTGATGACTAGTATGGTCATTTGAAATGATATCATATGTGTAAGTATAAGTGATGGTCTTTCAGTTGAGCTAAAGTGATGTGATTTAATTAGTCTACTTTCCTTCTCCCAGTTTATAAGAAAAAATAGTTAGAAATGAGATACTGACATAAGACGATCTGCCTCTGCTGAGGTAGGTGGTTACAGGTCCATGCAGCGTGTTACCCCTACACACTCTTATGTGACATACCAAAGCAGTCAATTAAGATGAGATAAGAACTTTATTGATCCCCAAAATTCATTTATCTGGACTCTCATCTCATCTACTATTTACAGAAGAGTTGTACAGTCTGATAGCTGTGAGTACAAAAGATCTTCTGAATCTTTCTGTCCTGCAGTGAAGTGAGAGGAGCCGTCCACCACCATTGACCCTTTGGTCCTTTAAGGTTGGAGCTAGGGTTAGGGTTAGGTGTGGGGTTGGAGCTAGGGTTAGGGTTAGGGTTAGGGTTAGGGTTGGAGTTAGGGTTAGTGTTGGAGCTAGGGTTAGGGTTGGGCTTGGAGCTAGGATTTTTCTGAGTGCAATGAACCAACTCCCGAGTCTCTAGGACGTTCCTAAAAAAATTTGATTTTTTCCCATAGGAATGCATGGGTTAGGGTTAGGGTTAGGGTTAGGGTTGGAGTTAGGGTTAGTGTTGGAGCTAGGGTTAGGGTTGGGCTTGGAGCTAGGATTTTTCTGAGTGCAATGAACCAACTCCCGAGTCTCTAGGACGTTCCTAAAAAAATTTGATTTTTTCCCATAGGAATGCATGGGTTAGGGTTAGGGTTAGAGTTGGAGCTAGGGTTAGGGTTAGGGTTAGGGTTGGGTTAGGGTTAGTGCCAACCCAATTTTTCACCTTCCAGAATAGTGTTAGGAGCACGTTTCAGGGCACGGGGAGTCTATAGAACCTAATTCTGGGGGAAGTTTTTTGAAAGGTTTACTTAGGGTTTGGGTTAGGGTTAGGGTTGGAGCTAGGGTTAAGGTTGGAGCTAGGGTTAGGGTTAGGGTTAGGATTAGGGTGGAGCTAGGGTTAGGGTTAGGGTTGGAGCTAGGGTTAGGGTTAGGGTTAGGGTTGGAGTTAGGGTTAAGGTTGGAGCTAGGGTTAGGGTTAGGGTTAGGGTTGGAGCTAGGGTTAGGGTTAGGGTTAGGGTTGGAGCTAGGGTTAGGGTTAGGGTTGGAGTTAGGGTTAGTGTTGGAGCTAGGGTTAGGGTTGGGCTTGGAGCTAGGATTTTTCTGAGTGCAATGAACCAACTCCCGAGTCTCTAGGACGTTCCTAAAAAAAATTGATTTTTTTCCCATAGGAATGCATGGGTTAGGGTTAGGGTTAGGGTTGGAGCTAGGGTTAGGGTTAGGGTTAGGGTTGGAGTAAGGGTTAGTGTTGGAGCTAGGGTTAGGGTTGGGCTTGGAGCTAGGATTTTTCTGAGTGCAATGAACCAACTCCCGAGTCTCTAGGACGTTCCTAAAAAAAATAGATTTTTTCCCATAGGAATGCATGGGTTAGGGTTAGGGTTAGGGTTGGAGCTAGGGTTAGGGTTAGGGTTAGGGTTGGAGTTAGGGTTAGTGTTGGAGCTAGGGTTAGGGTTAGGGTTAGGGTTGGAGTTAGGGTTTGTGTTGGAGCTAGGGTTAGGGTTGGGCTTGGAGCTAGGATTTTTCTGAGTGCAATGAACCAACTCCCGAGTCTCTAGGACGTTCCTAAAAAAATTTGATTTTTTCCCATAGGAATGCATGGGTTAGGGTTAGGGTTAGGGTTGGAGCTAGGGTTAGGGTTAGGGTTGGAGTTAGGGTTAGTGTTGGAGCTAGGGTTAGGGTTGGGCTTGGAGCTAGGATTTTTCTGAGTGCAATGAACCAACTCCCGAGTCTCTAGGACGTTCCTAAAAAAAATTGATTTTTTCCCATAGGAATGCATGGGTTAGGGTTAGGGTTAGTGTTGGAGCTAGGGTTAGGGTTAGGGTTAGGGTTGGAGTTAGGGTTAGTGTTGGAGCTAGCGTTAGGGTTGGGCTTGGAGCTAGGATTTTTCTGAGTGCAATGAACCAACTCCCGAGTCTCTAGGACGTTCCTAAAAAAAATTGATTTTTTCCCATAGGAATGCATGGGTTAGGGTTAGGGTTAGAGTTGGAGCTAGGGTTAGGGTTAGGGTTAGGGTTGGGTTAGGGTTAGTGCCAACCCAATTTTTCACCTTCCAGAATTGTGTTAGGAGCACGTTTCACGGCACGGGGAGTCTATATAACCTAATTCTGGGGGAAGTTTTTTGAAAAGTTTACTTAGGGTTTGGGTTAGGGTTAGGGTTGGAGCTAGGGTTAAGGTTGGAGCTAGGGTTAGGGTTAGGGTTAGGATTAGGGTGGAGCTAGGGTTAGGGTTAGGGTTGGAGTTAGGGTTAGGGTTGGGGCTATGGTTAGGGTTAAGGTTGGAGCTAGGGTTAGGGTTAGGGTTAGGGTTGGAGCTAGGGTTAGGGTTAGGGTTGGAGCTAGGGTTAGGGTTAGGGTTAGGGTTGGAGTTAGGGTTAGTGTTGGAGCTAGGGTTAGGGTTGGGCTTGGAGCTAGGATTTTTCTGAGTGCAATGAACCAACTCCCGAGTCTCTAGGACGTTCCTAAAAAAAATTTTTTTTTTCCCATAGGAATGCATGGGTTAGGGTTAGGGTTAGGGTTGGAGCTAGGGTTAGGGTTAGGGTTAGGGTTGGAGTTAGGGTTAGTGTTGGAGCTAGGGTTAGGGTTGGGCTTGGAGCTAGGATTTTTCTGAGTGCAATGAACCAACTCCCGAGTCTCTAGGACGTTCCTAAAAAAATTGATTTTTTCCCATAGGAATGCATGGGTTAGGGTTAGGGTTAGGGTTGGAGCTAGGGTTAGGGTTAGGGTTAGGGTTGGAGTTAGGGTTAGTGTTGGAGCTAGGGTTAGGGTTAGGGTTAGGGTTGGAGTTAGGGTTTGTGTTGGAGCTAGGGTTAGGGTTGGGCTTGGAGCTAGGATTTTTCTGAGTGCAATGAACCAACTCCCGAGTCTCTAGGACGTTCCTAAAAAAATTTGATTTTTTCCCATAGGAATGCATGGGTTAGGGTTAGGGTTAGGGTTGGAGCTAGGGTTAGGGTTAGGGTTGGAGTTAGGGTTAGTGTTGGAGCTAGGGTTAGGGTTGGGCTTGGAGCTAGGATTTTTCTGAGTGCAATGAACCAACTCCTGAGTCTCTAGGACGTTCCTAAAAAAATTTGATTTTTTCCCATAGGAATGCATGGGTTAGGGTTAGGGTTAGGGTTGGAGCTAGGGTTAGGGTTAGGGTTAGGGTTGGGTTAGGGTTAGTGCCAACCCAATTTTTCACCTTCCAGAATAGTGTTAGGAGCACGTTTCAGGGCACGGGGAGTCTATAGAACCTAATTCTGGGGGAAGTTTTTTGAAAGGTTTACTTAGGGTTAGGGTTGGAGCTAGGGTTAAGGTTGGAGCTAGGGTTAGGGTTAGGGTTAGGATTAGGGTGGAGCTAGGGTTAGGGTTAGGGTTAGAGCTAGGGTTAGGGTTGGGGCTAGGGTTAGGGTTAGGGTTAAGGTTGGAGCTAGGGTTAGGGTTAGGGTTAGGGTTGGAGCTAGGGTTAGGGTTAGGGTTAGGGTTGGAGCTAGGGTTAGGGTTAGGGTTAGGGTTGGAGTTAGGGTTAGTGTTGGAGCTAGGGTTAGGGTTGGGCTTGGAGCTAGGATTTTTCTGAGTGCAATGAACCAACTCCCGAGTCTCTAGGACGTTCCTAAAAAAATTTGATTTTTTTCCCCATAGGAATGCATGGGTTAGGGTTAGGGTTAGGGTTGGAGCTAGGGTTAGGGTTAGGGTTAGGGTTGGAGTAAGGGTTAGTGTTGGAGCTAGGGTTAGGGTTGGGCTTGGAGCTAGGATTTTTCTGAGTGCAATGAACCAACTCCCGAGTCTCTAGGACATTCCTAAAAAAATTTGATTTTCTTCCCATAGGAATGCATGGGTTAGGGTTAGGGTTAGGGTTGGAGTTAGGGTTAGTGTTGGAGCTAGGGTTAGGGTTGGGCTTGGAGCTAGGATTTTTCTGAGTGCAATGAACCAACTCCCGAGTCTCTAGGACGTTCCTAAAAAAATTTGATTTTTTTTCCCATAGGAATGCATGGGTTAGGGTTAGGGTTAGGGTTGGAGCTAGGGTTAGGGTTAGGGTTAGGGTTGGAGTAAGGGTTAGTGTTGGAGCTAGGGTTAGGGTTGGGCTTGGAGCTAGGATTTTTCTGAGTGCAATGAACCAACTCCCGAGTCTCTAGGACGTTCCTAAAAAAATTTGATTTTTTTCCCATAGGAATGCATGGGTTAGGGTTAGGGTTAGGGTTGGAGCTAGGGTTAGGGTTAGGGTTGGAGTTAGGGTTAGTGTTGGAGCTAGGGTTAGGGTTGGGCTTGGAGCTAGGATTTTTCTGAGTGCAATGAACCAACTCCCGAGTCTCTAGGACGTTCCTAAAAAAATTTGATTTTTTCCCATAGGAATGCATGGGTTAGGGTTAGGGTTAGGGTTGGAGCTAGGGTTAGGGTTAGGGTTAGGGTTGGAGTTAGGGTTAGTGTTGGAGCTAGGGTTAGGGTTGGGCTTGGAGCTAGGATTTTTCTGAGTGCAATGAACCAACTCCCGAGTCTCTAGGACGTTCCTAAAAAAATTTGATTTTTTCCCATAGGAATGCATGGGTTAGGGTTAGGGTTAGAGTTGGAGCTAGGGTTAGGGTTAGGGTTAGGGTTGGGTTAGGGTTAGTGCCAACCCAATTTTTCACCTTCCAGAATAGTGTTAGGAGCACGTTTCAGGGCACGGGGAGTCTATTGAACCTAATTCTGGGGGAAGTTTTTTGAAAGGTTTACTTAGGGTTTGGGTTAGGGTTAGGGTTGGAGCTAGGGTTAAGGTTGGAGCTAGGGTTAGGGTTAGGGTTAGGATTAGGGTGGAGCTAGGGTTAGGGTTAGGGTTAGAGCTAGGGTTAGGGTTGGGGCTAGGGTTAGGGTTAGGGTTAAGGTTGGAGCTAGGGTTAGGGTTAGGGTTAGGGTTGGAGCTAGGGTTAGGGTTAGGGTTAGGGTTGGAGTTCGGGTTAGTGTTGGAGCTAGGGTTAGGGTTAGGGTTAGGGTTGGAGTTAGGGTTTGTGTTGGAGCTAGGGTTAGGGTTGGGGTTGTAGTTAGGGTTAGTGTTGGAGCTAGCGTTAGGGTTGGGCTTGGAGCTAGAATTTTTCTGAGTGCAATGAACCAACTCCCGAGTCTCTAGGACGTTCCTAAAAAAAATTGATTTTTTCCCATAGGAATGCATGGGTTAGGGTTAGGGTTAGTGTTGGAGTTAGGGTTAGGGTTAGGGTTAGGGTTGGAGTTAGGGTTAGTGTTGGAGCTAGGGTTAGGGTTGGGCTTGGAGCTAGGATTTTTCTGAGTGCAATGAACCAACTCCCGAGTCTCTAGGACGTTCCTAAAAAAAATTGATTTTTTCCCATAGGAATGCATGGGTTAGGGTTAGGGTTAGAGTTGGAGCTAGGGTTAGGGTTAGGGTTAGGGTTGGGTTAGGGTTAGTGCCAACCCAATTTTTCACCTTCCAGAATAGTGTTAGGAGCACGTTTCAGGGCACGGGGAGTCTATAGAACCTAATTCTGGGGGAAGTTTTTTGAAAGGTTTACTTAGGGTTAGGGTTGGAGCTAGGGTTAAGGTTGGAGCTAGGGTTAGGGTTAGGGTTAGGATTAGGGTGGAGCTAGGGTTAGGGTTAGGGTTAGAGCTAGGGTTAGGGTTGGGGCTAGGGTTAGGGTTAGGGTTAAGGTTGGAGCTAGGGTTAGGGTTAGGGTTAGGGTTGGAGCTAGGGTTAGGGTTAGGGTTAGGGTTGGAGCTAGGGTTAGGGTTAGGGTTGGAGTTAGGGTTAGTGTTGGAGCTAGGGTTAGGGTTGGGCTTGGAGCTAGGATTTTTCTGAGTGCAATGAACCAACTCCCGAGTCTCTAGGACGTTCCTAAAAAAATTTGATTTTTTTCCCCATAGGAATGCATGGGTTAGGGTTAGGGTTAGGGTTGGAGCTAGGGTTAGGGTTAGGGTTAGGGTTGGAGTAAGGGTTAGTGTTGGAGCTAGGGTTAGGGTTGGGCTTGGAGCTAGGATTTTTCTGAGTGCAATGAACCAACTCCCGAGTCTCTAGGACATTCCTAAAAAAATTTGATTTTCTTCCCATAGGAATGCATGGGTTAGGGTTAGGGTTAGGGTTGGAGTTAGGGTTAGTGTTGGAGCTAGGGTTAGGGTTGGGCTTGGAGCTAGGATTTTTCTGAGTGCAATGAACCAACTCCCGAGTCTCTAGGACGTTCCTAAAAAAATTTGATTTTTTTCCCCATAGGAATGCATGGGTTAGGGTTAGGGTTAGGGTTGGAGCTAGGGTTAGGGTTAGGGTTAGGGTTGGAGTAAGGGTTAGTGTTGGAGCTAGGGTTAGGGTTGGGCTTGGAGCTAGGATTTTTCTGAGTGCAATGAACCAACTCCCGAGTCTCTAGGACATTCCTAAAAAAATTTGATTTTTTTCCCCATAGGAATGCATGGGTTAGGGTTAGGGTTAGGGTTGGAGCTAGGGTTAGGGTTAGGGTTAGGGTTGGAGTAAGGGTTAGTGTTGGAGCTAGGGTTAGGGTTGGGCTTGGAGCTAGGATTTTTCTGAGTGCAATGAACCAACTCCCGAGTCTCTAGGACATTCCTAAAAAAATTTGATTTTCTTCCCATAGGAATGCATGGGTTAGGGTTAGGGTTAGGGTTGGAGTTAGGGTTAGTGTTGGAGCTAGGGTTAGGGTTGGGCTTGGAGCTAGGATTTTTCTGAGTGCAATGAACCAACTCCCGAGTCTCTAGGACGTTCCTAAAAAAATTTGATTTTTTTTCCCATAGGAATGCATGGGTTAGGGTTAGGGTTAGGGTTGGAGCTAGGGTTAGGGTTAGGGTTAGGGTTGGAGTAAGGGTTAGTGTTGGAGCTAGGGTTAGGGTTGGGCTTGGAGCTAGGATTTTTCTGAGTGCAATGAACCAACTCCCGAGTCTCTAGGACGTTCCTAAAAAAATTTGATTTTTTTCCCCATAGGAATGCATGGGTTAGGGTTAGGGTTAGGGTTGGAGCTAGGGTTAGGGTTAGGGTTAGGGTTGGAGTAAGGGTTAGTGTTGGAGCTAGGGTTAGGGTTGGGCTTGGAGCTAGGATTTTTCTGAGTGCAATGAACCAACTCCCGAGTCTCTAGGACATTCCTAAAAAAATTTGATTTTCTTCCCATAGGAATGCATGGGTTAGGGTTAGGGTTAGGGTTGGAGTTAGGGTTAGTGTTGGAGCTAGGGTTAGGGTTGGGCTTGGAGCTAGGATTTTTCTGAGTGCAATGAACCAACTCCCGAGTCTCTAGGACGTTCCTAAAAAAATTTGATTTTTTTTCCCATAGGAATGCATGGGTTAGGGTTAGGGTTAGGGTTGGAGCTAGGGTTAGGGTTAGGGTTAGGGTTGGAGTAAGGGTTAGTGTTGGAGCTAGGGTTAGGGTTGGGCTTGGAGCTAGGATTTTTCTGAGTGCAATGAACCAACTCCCGAGTCTCTAGGACGTTCCTAAAAAAATTTGATTTTTTCCCATAGGAATGCATGGGTTAGGGTTAGGGTTAGGGTTGGAGCTAGGGTTAGGGTTAGGGTTGGAGTTAGGGTTAGTGTTGGAGCTAGCGTTAGGGTTGGGCTTGGAGCTAGGATTTTTCTGAGTGCAATGAACCAACTCCCGAGTCTCTAGGACGTTCCTAAAAAAAATTGATTTTTTCCCATAGGAATGCATGGGTTAGGGTTAGGGTTAGGGTTGGAGCTAGGGTTAGGGTTAGGGTTAGGGTTGGAGTTAGGGTTAGTGTTGGAGCTAGCGTTAGGGTTGGGCTTGGAGCTAGGATTTTTCTGAGTGCAATGAACCAACTCCCGAGTCTCTAGGACGTTCCTAAAAAAAATTGATTTTTTCCCATAGGAATGCATGGGTTAGGGTTAGGGTTAGAGTTGGAGCTAGGGTTAGGGTTAGGGTTAGGGTTGGGTTAGGGTTAGTGCCAACCCAATTTTTCACCTTCCAGAATAGTGTTAGGAGCACGTTTCAGGGCACGGGGAGTCTATAGAACCTAATTCTGGGGGAAGTTTTTTGAAAGGTTTACTTAGGGTTTGGGTTAGGGTTAGGGTTGGAGCTAGGGTTAAGGTTGGAGCTAGGGTTAGGGTTAGGGTTAGGATTAGGGTGGAGCTAGGGTTAGGGTTAGGGTTAGAGCTAGGGTTAGGGTTGGGGCTAGGGTTAGGGTTAGGGTTAAGGTTGGAGCTAGGGTTAGGGTTAGGGTTAGGGTTGGAGCTAGGGTTAGGGTTAGGGTTAGGGTTGGAGCTAGGGTTAGGGTTAGGGTTGGAGCTAGGGTTAGGGTTGGGCTTGGAGCTAGGATTTTTCTGAGTGCAATGAACCAACTCCCGAGTCTCTAGGACGTTCCTAAAAAAAATTGATTTTTTTCCCATAGGAATGCATGGGTTAGGGTTAGGGTTAGGGTTGGAGCTAGGGTTAGGGTTAGGGTTAGGGTTGGAGTTAAGGGTTAGTGTTGGAGCTAGGGTTAGGGTTGGGCTTGGAGCTAGGATTTTTCTGAGTGCAATGAACCAACTCCCGAGTCTCTAGGACGTTCCTAAAAAAAATAGATTTTTTCCCATAGGAATGCATGGGTTAGGGTTAGGGTTAGGGTTGGAGCTAGGGTTAGGGTTAGGGTTAGGGTTGGAGTTAGGGTTAGTGTTGGAGCTAGGGTTAGGGTTAGGGTTAGGGTTGGAGTTAGGGTTTGTGTTGGAGCTAGGGTTAGGGTTGGGCTTGGAGCTAGGATTTTTCTGAGTGCAATGAACCAACTCCCGAGTCTCTAGGACGTTCCTAAAAAAATTTGATTTTTTCCCATAGGAATGCATGGGTTAGGGTTAGGGTTAGGGTTGGAGCTAGGGTTAGGGTTAGGGTTGGAGTTAGGGTTAGTGTTGGAGCTAGCGTTAGGGTTGGGCTTGGAGCTAGGATTTTTCTGAGTGCAATGAACCAACTCCCGAGTCTCTAGGACGTTCCTAAAAAAAATTGATTTTTTCCCATAGGAATGCATGGGTTAGGGTTAGGGTTAGTGTTGGAGTTAGGGTTAGGGTTAGGGTTAGGGTTGGAGTTAGGGTTAGTGTTGGAGCTAGCGTTAGGGTTGGGCTTGGAGCTAGGATTTTTCTGAGTGCAATGAACCAACTCCCGAGTCTCTAGGACGTTCCTAAAAAAAATTGATTTTTTCCCATAGGAATGCATGGGTTAGGGTTAGGGTTAGAGTTGGAGCTAGGGTTAGGGTTAGGGTTAGGGTTGGGTTAGGGTTAGTGCCAACCCAATTTTTCACCTTCCAGAATAGTGTTAGGAGCACGTTTCAGGGCACGGGGAGTCTATAGAACCTAATTCTGGGGGAAGTTTTTTGAAAGGTTTACTTAGGGTTTGGGTTAGGGTTAGGGTTGGAGCTAGGGTTAAGGTTGGAGCTAGGGTTAGGGTTAGGGTTAGGATTAGGGTGGAGCTAGGGTTAGGGTTAGGGTTAGAGCTAGGGTTAGGGTTGGGGCTAGGGTTAGGGTTAGGGTTAAGGTTGGAGCTAGGGTTAGGGTTAGGGTTAGGGTTGGAGCTAGGGTTAGGGTTAGGGTTAGGGTTGGAGCTAGGGTTAGGGTTAGGGTTAGTGTTGGAGCTAGGGTTAGGGTTGGGCTTGGAGCTAGGATTTTTCTGAGTGCAATGAACCAACTCCCGAGTCTCTAGGACGTTCCTAAAAAAATTTGATTTTTTCCCATAGGAATGCATGGGTTAGGGTTAGGGTTAGGGTTGGAGCTAGGGTTAGGGTTAGGGTTAGGGTTGGAGTAAGGGTTAGTGTTGGAGCTAGGGTTAGGGTTGGGCTTGGAGCTAGGATTTTTCTGAGTGCAATGAACCAACTCCCGAGTCTCTAGGACATTCCTAAAAAAATTTGATTTTTTTCCCATAGGAATGCATGGGTTAGGGTTAGGGTTAGGGTTGGAGTTAGGGTTAGTGTTGGAGCTAGGGTTAGGGTTGGGCTTGGAGCTAGGATTTTTCTGAGTGCAATGAACCAACTCCCGAGTCTCTAGGACGTTCCTAAAAAAATTTGATTTTTTTTCCCATAGGAATGCATGGGTTAGGGTTAGGGTTAGGGTTGGAGCTAGGGTTAGGGTTAGGGTTAGGGTTGGAGTAAGGGTTAGTGTTGGAGCTAGGGTTAGGGTTGGGCTTGGAGCTAGGATTTTTCTGAGTGCAATGAACCAACTCCCGAGTCTCTAGGACATTCCTAAAAAAATTTGATTTTCTTCCCATAGGAATGCATGGGTTAGGGTTAGGGTTAGGGTTGGAGTTAGGGTTAGTGTTGGAGCTAGGGTTAGGGTTGGGCTTGGAGCTAGGATTTTTCTGAGTGCAATGAACCAACTCCCGAGTCTCTAGGACGTTCCTAAAAAAATTAGATTTTTTCCCATAGGAATGCATGGGTTAGGGTTAGGGTTAGGGTTGGAGCTAGGGTTAGGGTTAGGGTTAGGGTTGGAGTTAGGGTTAGTGTTGGAGCTAGGGTTAGGGTTGGGCTTGGAGCTAGGATTTTTCTGAGTGCTATGAACCAACTCCCGAGTCTCTAGGACGTTCCTAAAAAAATTTGATTTTTTCCCATAGGAATGCATGGGTTAGGGTTAGGGTTAGGGTTGGAGCTAGGGTTAGGGTTAGGGTTAGGGTTGGAGCTAGGGTTAGGGTTAGGGTTAGGGTTGGAGTTAGGGTTAGTGTTGGAGCTAGGGTTAGGGTTGGGCTTGGAGCTAGGATTTTTCTGAGTGCATTGAACCAAGTCCCGAGTCTCTAGGACATTCCTAAAAAAATTTGATTTTTTCCCATAGGAATGCATGGGTTAGGGTTAGGGTTAGGGTTGGAGCTAGGGTTAGGGTTAGGGTTAGGGTTGGAGTTAGGGTTTGTGTTGGAGCTAGGGTTAGGGTTGGGCTTGGAGCTAGGATTTTTCTGAGTGCAATGAACCAACTCCCGAGTCTCTAGGACGTTCCTAAAAAAATTTGATTTTTTCCCATAGGAATGCATGGGTTAGGGTTAGGTTTAGGGTTGGAGTTAGGGTTAGGGTTAGGGTTGGAGTTAGGGTTAGTGTTGGAGCTAGGGTTAGGGTTGGGCTTGGAGCTAGGATTTTTCTGAGTGCAATGAACCAACTCCCGAGTCTCTAGGACGTTCCTAAAAAAATTTGATTTTTTCCCATAGGAATGCATGGGTTAGGGTTAGGGTTAAGGTTGGAGCTAGGGTTAGGGTTAGGGTTAGGGTTGGGTTAGGGTTAGGGTTAGGGTTAGAGTTAGGGTGGAGCTAGGGTTAGGGTTGGGGCTAGGGTTAGGGTTAGGGTTGGGGCTAGGGTTAGGTTTGGGTTAGGGTTAAGGTTGGAGCTAGGGTTAGGGTTAGGGTTAGGGTTGGAGCTAGGGTTAGGGTTAGGGTTAGGGTTGGAGTTAGGGTTAAGGTTGGAGCTAGGGTTAGGGTTGGGCTTGGAGCTAGGATTTTTCTGAGTGCAATGAACCAACTCCTGAGTCTCTAGGACGTTCCTAAAAAAATTGATTTTTTCCCATAGGAATGCATGGGTTCGGTTTAGGATTAGGGTTGGAGCTAGGGTTAGGGTTAGGGTTAGGGTTGGAGTTAGGGTTAGTGTTGAAGCTAGGGTTAGGGTTGGGCTTGGAGCTAGGATTTTTCTGAGTGCAATGAACCAACTCCTGAGTCTCTAGGACGTTCCTAAAAAAATTTGATTTTTTCCCATAGGAATGCATGGGAAAAAAAAATTGAAAAATGTTCTAAGTGCCAACCCAATTTTTCACCTTCCAGAATAGTGTTAGGAGCACGTTTCAGGACACGGGGAGTCTATAGAACCTAATTCTGGGGGAAGTTTTTTGAAAGGTTTACTTAGGGTTTGGGTTAGGGTTAGGGTTGGAGCTAGGGTTAGGGTTAGGGTTAAGGTTGGAGCTAGGGTTAGGGTTAGGATTAGGGTGGAGCTAGGGTTAGGGTTAGGGTTAGAACTAGGGTTAGGGTTGGGGCTAGGGTTAGGGTTAGGGTTAAGGTTGGAGCTAGGGTTAGGGTTAGGGTTAGGGTTGGAGCTAGGGTTAGGGTTAGGGTTAGGGTTGGAGCTAGGGTTAGGGTTAGGGTTGGAGTTAGGGTTAGTGTTGGAGCTAGGGTTAGGGTTGGGCTTGGAGCTAGGATTTTTCTGAGTGCAATGAACCAACTCCCGAGTCTCTAGGACGTTCCTAAAAAAATTTGATTTTTTCCCATAGGAATGCATGGGTTAGGGTTAGGGTTAGGGTTGGAGCTAGGGTTAGGGTTAGGGTTAGGGTAAGTGTTGGAGCTAGGGTTAGGGTTGGGCTTGGAGCTAGGATTTTTCTGAGTGCAATGAACCAACTCCCGAGTCTCTAGGACATTCCTAAAAAAAATTGATTTTTTCCCATAGGAATGCATGGGTTAGGGTTAGGGTTAGGGTTGGAGCTAGGGTTAGGGTTAGGGTTAGGGTTGGAGTTAGGGTTAGTGTTGGAGCTAGGGTTATGGTTGGGCTTGGAGCTAGGATTTTTCTGAGTGCAATGAACCAACTCCCGAGTCTCTAGGACATTCCTAAAAAAATTTGATTTTTTCCCATAGGAATGCATGGGTTAGGGTTAGGGTTAGGGTTGGAGCCAGGGTTAGGGTTAGGGTTAGGGTTGGAGTTAGGGTTAGTATTGGAGCTAGGGTTAGGGTTTGGCTTGGAGCTAGGATTTTTCTGAGTGCAATGAACCAACTCCCGAGTCTCTAGGACGTTCCTAAAAAAAATTGATTTTTTCCCATAGGAATGCATGGGTTAGGGTTAGGGTTAGGGTTGGAGCTAGGGTTAGGGTTAGGGTTAGGGTTGGAGTTAGGGTTAGTGTTGGAGCTAGGGTTAGGGTCTGGCTTGGAGCTAGGATTTTTCTGAGTGCAATGAACCAACTCCCGAGTCTCTAGGACGTTCCTAAAAAAAATTGATTTTTTCCCATAGGAATGCATGGGTTAGGGTTAGGGTTAGGGTTGGAGCTAGGGTTAGGGTTAGGGTTAAGGTTGGAGCTAGGGTTAGGGTTAGGGTTAGCGCTAGGGTTAGGGTTAGGGTTAGAGCTAGGGTTAGGGTTAGGGTTAGGGTTAGGGTTAGGGTTAGGGTTAGGGTTAGGGTTAACACTAGAAGGACCACAGAGCAGCCATTTGGCTTTACCCCCCTCAAGGTCCACGGGGCAGCCGATCGGCTGGAAGGATTTTAGCTAATATCCTAAATCACCTGTGAGCACTCATTTTGTTATGCAAACGAGGTGATCGTTGGTGCACCACAGGAGGGGACTGGACTAAGTGGTGTATGCAGTGGGAAGGGACAACAGAAAGGAAGGGATCAACACACATGGGTTGTTTACTTTGTTGCTGAAATTTATTGATTAAAAATAAACAAAATTTAAACAACTGTATAGAATAAGAACAAGAATCAGAATCAGAATCACAAGGGGCTTTATTGCTATTGTCAATGAACAGGTTTCACAGACTAGGAATTTTTTACGGCGTGATGGTGCAACATTAAACAGAGTATAATATGTAAAATACAAGAATAAAAAATAAGAGCATGCAGGACATATGGAAAGAATAAAAGTATGAAAGGCTATGTACAATGCTAGGATTTTTTACGGCGTGATGGTGCAACATTAAACGGAGAATAATATGTAAAATACAAGAATAGAAAATAACAAGAGCATGCAGGACATATATAAAGTATAAAAAGGTTGGTGATGGACTTCAGGTGAATATGCATCATCAGGATACAGTGTTAGACTCTCACTCACAATCCTGGCACTGCCATGGTATCTCCCTTCTGCATTTCCCACATGTGTATCTGTAGCAGTCAACACATCGCACAGTGGCATGATTGTTCTTACACTGATTTTTAACCTGGCACATGGCTCTTTTCCCAGGGCTAGGTGTGGAAGGTTGTTGCCGAAGCAATTCTTCCTTTCATGCCTTCTTCGCAGTCACATGAGAGTTAGCCAACTCTCTTGCAAGCTCCACCAGGAAGTCCACCCGTCTCTCCTTCCTCCCGGTGCATGCTTGATACAGCACATGTGCATCCAATGCTGCCATATCAATCATGTTATAGAACACAGCGACTGGCCAGCGCCATGTTCCTGTGCGGACAGTGTACTCCCGCACCATCTGGTCCATCACATCCACGCTGCACTTTGTAGCATTGTAAAGTTCATTGCAGTCCCTCTGTCTAGATGACTGTGGAATTTCCTGGCGAATCTTGTTGACTGTGCCTAGGATGGTGGTTTTCCGCCTAAGCAGTTGTTGCGCAAGTGACAGTGATGTAAAGAAATTGTCCGTGGTAACATTTCTGCCCTTGTCCAGGAATGGTTCCATCAGCCTCATGACTACATTCTCGGACAGTCTCTCCCCACTGGGACGACTGGGGTCCTTGCCAAGATATGGGAGGACATTGCAGATGTACTTGGATTTCAAGTCACAAGCCACCCAAAACTTGATCCCAAACTTGTCAGGTTTCGTTGCAATGTACTGCAGGAAACAGCAGCGAGTCTTTGAGGGGAAAAGCTGTTCGTCAATGGTGATGTGTCGACCAGGGTTGTAGGATGTGATGCAGTTGGTGACAAATGACGACCACACAGCAGAAATTGCAGCAAACTTGTCAGTCTTTGTGCGCTCACTGCGGGTGTCCCTGTCATCAAAGCATAGGTGTCGCATGATGTCTTTGAAGCGATTTCGGGGCATGGTTGCCATGATCTGGGGGTTTCCCAGGTTTGCTCACCAGCAAACCAGAAAATGTGATAAATTGTCAATCAAATAGTGATCCTGTGAATGGGACTGGTTGCATTCACCTGGTCATTCTCACATTCATACTCTCAACAGCTTCACCAGAGTATAAAGAATGTAGTGTCATATGCAAACAGTATGCAATTTAACAATTTAGATACATTTACAATGTCATTAATATAAAGTACAAACAGTTTTTGTCCGTGGACCGACCGCTGGGGCATCTGCTGAGGTGCAGGAACATCAGGAGAAGTAGAACCAAACAAAACAAACAGAGGCCCAAACTGTCTGTGCAGTGGCTATGGCTGAAGCAGTTTCTGTCTACAGTTGCTCTCAGGTTGGAAACTCCCCTCCCCCTCCCCACTCACTCTCCCCACAACACAAGTTTCCTTGAAATAACTTAGCATATCCCCTCCTGTGGTGCACCAGCGATAGCCTCGTTTGCATAACAAACTGAGTGTTCAGAGGTGATTTAGTACTAGCTAAAAGCCCTCCAAGCCATTTGGCTGCCCTCTGGTCTTTATAGGTAGAACAGCAAAAAGCCGGTCCTTCTAGTGTTAAGGTGTTGTGAAGTGGGTGATCCATGTCCTTTCGAATAGTCTCCACCTTCCTCACAGTACATTTCTCCACCACATCTTCCATTGAGTCCAACTTGATTCCAACCACAGAGCCAGCCTTTTTCACCAGTTTGTTCAGACATCTTGCATCTTTGTGTTTGATGCTTCCTCCCCAGCAGACTGCAGCATAGAACAGAACACTGTAGACACCACAGACTGATAAAACATCTGCAGCATCTTACTACAGATGTCTATTGATCAGAGTCTTCTGAGGCAAAAGAGGCAGCTCTGCCCCTTTTTGTCAGCAAGAGGCTGACTAGTTTCAGCATTTATATTTGTGATAGCTTTGTCTTGTCTGCTTTTTGTCTAGTTTTTACACCACCCAGCTTCCTCCCATGCGGAGGGGCTCATTTGATGAACGAACTCCCGATCAGTGTCGCTGTGTCACTCGCTTGTGTACTGCATGGGGCTCCAAAGCGCTGACTGATTCAGTAAACAAATCTTTTGAACAAATCATTTTAATAACAGGTTCTAAAGATTCAGTTCAATCAAAAGAACTGTTCTTCCCATCACTACTGTGGATAAATGACTGGGTGAGTATAGGTCTAATTGAGTTGAACACAGAAGTCCAATTTGGTCCAGCTAATGCAATGACTCAATTTTTTGGACATACTGACTGTGTTGTATACGTTCTAATGAAACCCTTGTGTTGGAGACCCTATGTTTTATCAGGGCTGCAGACCATACACAAACTAGCTAGGATGGTGCAGGCATCTGGTTAGGAAGCCCCCAGGATGAGGTTTTCCCCCTGGATGGACGCTTTCAAGTATGTCCAACCAGGAGGACACCCCCAAATGAGCCCACAGCTCGCTGAAGGCTTTTTCTATTTCTTCTGGCCTGAGGAAACCTAGGAATTCTTCAGGAAGAGCAAGGAAACACTGTTAGAGTGGGAAGCAGCTTTTCTGGTCACATGGTACTGGGGGCTGTTTGTGAAGCGGAAATAGCTCAACCCGACTCCATTTACCCGACTCCGACTCTGCCATCTATCTATCTATCTATCTATCTATCTATCAGTAGTTCCCACCAATCCTGTGCCATTTAGACAAGATCTCATTTGTTACTTTCCACTGTGTTCCCGTAAATGATAAACAGTGCCTGAGTGACTGAAGTATCAAAAGTATCAATATTTTGATTTGAGCATTAACTTTAGAGCATATTGGTATCAGAGGTGTCAATATTTCAGTAGCGATCTGCACATCACTGCTTCAAGGAGGAGCAACAGACCTGAAGCTGTTTGGTAAAAGACCTCAGAATCCACCTGACAACACTAACCACAAAAACCCCCTGCCATTACTGGAGAAGACATGTTTAGTTCAAGATCAATGCAAACACATAATCAGGAAGAATTATAGTAACAGAAGATGTTGATGAACCTCTGTGAGTGAGTCAGTGATAGCAAGAGGGACTGACTGGGAGGAGAGAAGCAAAGCAATTTGTAGATCTCTGCCCACAGCGCTGCCAGCTCTGTGATGTGCAGGTCAGAGTGTGACTAACCTACTAGCTCTGGCTGGGCTGCCCTTTCTGTCTCGCTGCACCTGTTTCACCACATTAAACACTTCACATGTTCCTCGGGGTCCAAGCTCCACGTTGTTCCTTACACTCAAACACACAGCCTCAGAAAAAATACACACATACATCCCTGAGAAAGACACACTCGCACACACACAGAAGCTTAGGGATACTATAAAATAGAGTGAGAATGAAGGTCGAGGATAATAAAGATGATGTATTGAGTAAA